GCCTGTGAAGCTCCTGATTTCACCCTCAACTTTGATTGATAGCCTTGTTGGGTACAGTATTCTTGGATTCAGACCTTTGCTTCACATGACTTTGTATATTTCATTTCATTCCCTTCTGGCCTGATGCCTTTCTGTTGAGAAATCAGTCCATAGTCTGATGGGATATCCATTGTAGATAACTTTCTCTCTCTCTCTGGCAGCCTTTAAGATTCGTACTTTGTCGTTGGTGTTTGCCAATTTAATTATAATGTGTCTTGGTGTTGGTCATTTTGGGTTCATCTTGTTTGGGATTCTGAGCTTCTTGGACTTGTGTGAGTTTTTTCTTCTTCCCAATATCAGGGAAGTTTTCTATCATTATTTCTTCAAACAGGTTTTCTATTTCTTGCTGTTTCCTCTCCTTCTGAGACCCCTATTATGCGGATGTTGTTTTGTTTTGTGTTGTCCCAAAGTTCCCTTAGGCTCTCCTCCTGTTTTTTAATTTTTTTTTTCCAGTTGCTGCTCTGCGTGGGTATTTTTCCTACCTTGTCTTCTAGCTCACTGATGTGGTCCTCCGCTTCTTCTAGTCTACTGTTGATGCTTTCTATTATGTTCTTTATTGCAGTGATGTCATTTTTCATTTTTTCTTGGTTCTTCTTCATTTCTTCTTGGTTCTTACACATACTGTTGAATTTGTCTTCCATCCTTTGAGCATCCTTATGACCATTGCTCTGAATTCTTTTTCTGATATAATGCTTGCCTCCATTTCATTTACTTCCTTTTCTGGTGATTCCTCCTTTTCTTTTATATGGGGGTTATTTCTTTGTCTCCCCATGTTTGCTCCTCTCAGGGTGTCTGGTTAGGTAGCTCTCTCTCTCTCTCACCTGCATTGGCTTAAAGGAACAAAATACAACATGACAAGACACAACACACAGGACACCAAACACAAATGTATTCATGATACCAATAACCCCAAATAAAGGTGACCACCAGAGAAAAGAGAATTGGGGGAGAGAAAAGAGTGCAAAAAAGATATCAAGAAATGGAAAAAATGTAAGAGAGAAAAGAAAGAGAAGAAAAAATAAGGGGGAAAATACACGTATATGGGGAGAAAACTCTAAAAAACCAACAGCTAATCCAAAAAATGCAAACAACAAATACTTTAAGATGAATGCAAACAACAAACAACTAATCCAAAATATGCACACAACAAACACCCAAAGAACAAACACCCAGCTGAATCTGAGGAGGCAGAGCTCTCTAGGCAATCTCTGACTTTTCCGTCCATGGATTGCCTCACCAGCTGTTTAATTCGCCAATTCCAGGTGGATGTTGTTCAATTCAGCTGTTCCTTCTATATGCTCTATGAGAAGATGCAGGGCCCATTCACGTATTCAGTGCTTTTTTGTCTCCCCTGGACAAAATTTTTAGGCGCCCGTGGCCAGGGAGGATGGAGTCTCGGTGTTTGTGGGTTCACAGCTGAGGCAGCTGGTCCCTGGGTGATGTGGTTATAGGGTCCCTGGAGGTATCCGAGGTCTCCCCAGTTGAAGGTAAGACTAGGCTTCTGATCACAGCCACTCTCCCCTTCATGATGGCATGGTCTCTGCGGCAGAGCCAGCCACTCCAGGAGAGATTTCAGCAGTAGTAGAGGCTGCCCAGCCAGGGGAGCCTGGTCCACCAGTCCCCAATAGTCCTGTGGAATATAGCTGCCCCTCACTCACAAATACAGACACTCCCTGCACGTCCACACACTCTCCTTTCGCTCTCTCACTCACACACTATCTTGCAGCCTGCTGTCCTGTCAGCCACCATCTTGGATCTTATAAAATCATTTTCATACAACTGACAAAAACCACCATAAATGTTAGTATATAACTGTGTGTGTATTATACTTTGTAGGCTCTCTAAGGCAGTTCTGTTCTGCCTCTATTTGCTTCTCACATTCACACATATTTAGTATATAATTTCTCATTTCCCCTCACTGTCTTACTCAATAGGCAGCTTCCTTCTCAGTCTTTAGAACAAGCCATGCCATGCTGGTGGGCACGCTAAGTGGCCTGCAGGCCATGCTGTCCCTAGGCACTCCCGTTCAAAGCACATTTTAAAAAGTGAACAGCCACATTTTGTACTTGAAAGAAGAGTGTAATGACATTGCATCACAGAAGACAGAGAAAGAGAAACACACTTTAGCAGGTGTGGAAGTGCTTTGAATAAGTGGTGCACATAGCAGAACCTACAGCTACCAAGTCCATGTCAGCTTGTAATGAACCTCTTAATTTGATACTTCTAAGTTATTGGTTGAGATCTTACATTTTGTGCTTTTCTTGAATTTTTAATTTGATTATCTTTTGCTTTTTTATTAACCAGATGAGATTTCATGAAGAAAGGATTTAGAACGGCAGTGGAATCTGAAAGGGATGTTGAGTTTAGCTAGATATGCAAACATGCACTGAATAAGTTTACCCCTGGCCAGTTAAACTGAATCTCACTATCTGTCTCCAGATGTTTCTTTGGTGGGCGCATTAGTGAGACCTAGACCTCAGTGGATTCTAAGCATCTGAAACCTGGGGTGCCAGAGTGATTCTCTCCTGGCTAAATAAACAATCCACCTTGATAATTGGTCCAGATTCTCTTTTGTTGGGTAAGAGATGAAACTGTGTTCCAGTAGATTTTCTCTGAAATCTAAAATTGTCCATTAGTTTTGCAGATTTCCATGTGAGTAAATGTTTGTGACCTTCCTGTGACCCCAATGGCAGAAGCATCTCCCACACACAGCTCCATGGAGGACAGGTGACTGTGGTCCAGCTCAGAACACGAAGGTGCCTCTCTCAGGATGCAAAGTATGTCCTACTGGATGTCTTTTTCTGTATATCCTACCTCTGCCTTGGTGGTGGCAGAGAGCACACATACCCATTGTGGGGGGTGGTGGTGGGCATTTCTCTATAATAAAGCTGACAACCCCTCTGAGCCAGGCCTGGAAATGTGTCCAAACGCTGCCTCTGCTCCTACCCTTGGGAGGTGTCTGTCCCGCAGAGGTTCTGGGGTTGCTAGGGATGGTGGCTCTGGGCATTGACATCTCTGTGCTTCTGTCTGACAAATCTGTGCACTGGCTTGTAAAAAAAATCAATACTGCTTTTCCCTGGTACTTTCTCCACAGGTGAGTTGATGGATTATCACATTTCCTCTCATGTCCCCTCCCCCCAATTTTGTTATCAGTTTGTTTCTCTTGCTTTAGGGTTGAGCATCTGATAACATCTCAGGGGGATGACACCAAAAGAGGCTCCACGACCTTATCCCCCAGCGATCATGTCCTTGGTGACTGAATGCTGGCCTTAGCTATAAAGCAGGGTCGTATCTCCCAGGATCTCCCAGCCGATTTATGAGGAGTGTTACTGCAGGCCCCCTGGAGCCAAGAAGCGGACGTGTCCGTGGCTGGGCTTTTCTGCCAAAGGTGATTGTGCACACTGTTCTATTACCTATGTTTGAGAAGATGTACCGCCATTATATCAAGCCGCCTTTCGGAAAGTGATTTACTCTTCCTGGGAAGGGGGAGGGGGAGGGGAGACGGGGTCTGGAAGGCAATGAAGCTGCAGCTGATCAGTCAGAGAAGGAGCTGCTTATCTGGCAGGAAGATCATATTAGTTAGAAAAATGTTTTTTTCCAGCTCTAGGTAATTTGTGACTGTCTGACGGTGTTCACACCCCCATCCTTCTGGAGGAGGTAATTGATTCTGGGCTGTGCCCTGGACCACTTTGGGGCCCGGTGACCCTTTCACTGCAGAGGGAGTGGGGTCCAAGGGCATCAGGGCTGGGGCAGACATTTGCTGATCTGAAGCAAATTCTTTCCTTCTCTCCCCTTCTTGAGATGATAAAACTCAGTCTCACCTCCCAGATGATGTAAGGATGGCCGTTCCTAGAGGCAGGGGGCCTGGATGATCCTGCCATTTAAGTCCAGATTCCTACGTTGGTTCATTCCTAAGAAGCCTCGAGGGTCAAGTCACAGTGCTATTATGGACCTCCATTTCTCTCCTTCTCTCTCCCCACTTCTCCTCTCTCTCTCATTCTCTTTTTTCCTCTCTCTTTAACTATAAACTTGCTTGTCTTCATTTGAGATCCAGCCACTGAACGAATGCTGAATTTAATGGGATATTTATTATGAAGATATTTGCAAATGACTACAGAGAGTTTAGGATTCTTTGAAGTAAATACAAGCGATATAGAAGTAAGAAGTGTATTTGAGGATTTTAAGTGTATTTAAATTCTGACATTTTCATTCAAGATGCTGCTCTTTCTAGTCACTCATCAAACTTTAGTGAAATGTGAGAGACCATCCCTTGGGTTCCTATAACTGATCTCAGGTGCTCAGCTCCCACCCTCCTGAGGTGGGGGTAGCGGAAGGGAGGTCCCACGTGCACCTGTCACCCCACAGGCTTTTCTGACTAGATTCCCACAGGCCTCTGTCTTTTCCAGCAATTTTCACAAATGCTTCCCTCTTAAAAGCAGAATCTTCAAGATTATCTCATTAAATAATTCATTTTTTTTTTTTAAAAGTCAATGTTTCCACTGTGTGCTCATTGAGTTAGCTCCCGCAATGGTGAAGTTCATCCTTGCTTCCTAGTAAGGCACCTCAGTGAGCACGCCTGTGCTGTATTCCTCATTTTAACTATTAATACCATAAATGTGTTTTAAAGTCACATTTAGACAGAACCTGGCTAGACTGCTGATCAACTGAACACTGTCTCCGTGTCATTCCTTCGCCGGCTCCGTCCACACCTTTGGGAACCCCTGGACCTGCTGGAATTGGACCCCAACAATTGGTGCCCAATGTGGGGCACGAACCCACAACCCTACGATTAAGAGTCTCATGCTCTACTCAGCGTAGGGGTTGGCACCGGCTGCGGTCCAGGCCATCAGGGGCTGACGCCGAGTGCGCCCAGCCTGCCCTCAGCGCGGCCCCTGAGCCTTGGTGCGCCGCTGCGGCCCAGTGGGAGGGTCAGCCTGGCAGATCGGAATTAAACTGAAAAGATGTCGTTGTATGATGACCTGGGAGTGGAGACCAGTAACTCAAAAACAGAAGGCTGGTCCAAAAACTTCAAACTTCTGCAGTCTCAGCTTCAGGTGAAGAAGGCAGCTCTCACTCAAGCAAAGAGCCAGAGAACAAAACAAAGTACAGTCCTTGCCCCAGTAATCGACCTAAAGCGAGGTGGCGCGTCAGATGACCGGCAGATTGTGGACACCCCGCCTCACGTAGCAGCTGGCCTTAAGGATCCCATACCCAGTGGATTTTCTGCAGGAGAAGTTTTGATTCCCTTAGCTGATGACTATGATCCTATGTTTCCTAATGATTATGAGAAAGTAGTGAAGCGCCAGAGAGAAGAACAGCAGAGACAGCGGGAGCTGGAAAGACAAAAAGAAATAGAGAGAGAAAAGAGGCGTAAAGACAGACATGAAGCCAGTGGGTTTTCAAGGAGACCAGGTCCAGATTCTGATGAAGATGAAGATGATGTAGAGAAAGACAAAGAGTTACCCCGAGAATTTCCTTATGAAGAGGATTCAAGACCTCGCTCACAGTCTTCTAAAGCTGCCATTCCTCCACCTGTGTATGAGGAACAGGACAGACCCAGATCTCCAACGGGCCCTGGAAACTCCTTCCTTGCCAACATGGGTGGCACAGTAGCACATAAAATCATGCAGAAGTATGGCTTTCGGGAAGGCCAAGGTCTTGGTAAACACGAGCAAGGGCTGAGCATGGCGTTGTCAGTGGAGAAGACGAGCAAGCGAGGAGGCAAGATCATTGTGGGCGAAGTCACAGAGAAAGATGCAACCAAGAAGTCAGATTCAAATCCATTAACTGAAATACTTAAATGTCCTGCGAAAGTGGTCCTACTAAGGAACGTGGTTGGTGCAGGAGAGGCAGATGAAGACTTGGAAGTTGAAACCAAGGAAGAGTGTGAAAAATATGGCAAAGTTGGAAAATGTGTGATATTTGAAATTCCTGGTGCCCCTGATGATGAAGCAGTACGAATATTTTTAGAATTTGAGAGGGTTGAATCAGCAATTAAAGCTGTCCTTGATCTGAATGGGAGGTATTTTGGTGGACGGGTGGTAAAAGCATGTTTCTACAATTTGGATAAATTCAGGGTGTTGGATTTGGTGGAACAAGTTTGATTTTAAGAACTAGAGCACGGGAGAAACCAAGATGGCGGCATAGGTTAACACCGGAGATTGCTGCCTCGAACAACCACTTCAGAGATATAACTAAAGGACAGAACGGACATCATCCAGAACCACAGGAAGGCTGGCTGAGTGGAAATTCTATAACTAGGAGGAAAGAGAATATCATACCCAGACTCAGAGGAGGCGCAGTGCTGAAGTGAAATACTCAGGTGCGGAGTGTGCGCGCGGAGCGGGCTGAGGGTGAGGGCGCAGTTGTTGTTTTCAATCGGGAGGGAGTTTCAGACTCTGAGCTCCAGATCCGGGCGAGTCTCTGGGGACCCAGACTCAAACGGGAGAAGCAGGTCTGGCTTCGGTCGGAACTCGAAGGCAGCTTTCTCTCCGAGGTTTGCAGCGGTTGCTGGGACTCTGAGAGGCAGAGCACCTAGGGACGGAACTGAGAGCAGCCATAACTGCTTGCTCTGCCTGCCCTGTAGATCCCGGGGGACCCGCCCTGCCCAAGCCCTGCACAGAGCCATTTGCCAGATAGCCTCAGGCAAATGCTAGATTAGCACCGCCCTAGAGATCCAGCACAGAAGCTCTCCCACTGCAGACACAGCTGACTCTCATAGCCAGTTAACCTGGAGGTCAAATCACCCCTGGTATTTCGGACAACAATCAAGGCTTAATTACAATAAGACTGCGCACAAAGACCACTAGGGGGTGCACCAAGAAAAGATAAAAAAAATGCGGAGACAAAGAAACAGGATGCAAATGTCAGAAATGGAAGATATAGAGCTCAAAACCACACTTTTAAGGTCTCTCAAGAACTGTCTAGAAGCTGCCGATAAACTTAGTAAGGCCCTCGAAAAGACTGGTGAGACTGCTGATAAATGTAGTGAGATCCTCAAAAAATCTAATGAGACCCTCGATGTTGTGATAAAGAACCAACTAGAAATTAAGCATACACTGACTGAAATAAAGAATATTATACAGACACCCAACAGCAGACCAGAGGAGCGCAAGAATCAAGTCAAAGATTCAAAACGTGAAGAAGCAAAAAACACCCAACTGGAAAAGCAAAATGAAAAAAGAATCCGAAAATACGAAGATAGTATAAGGAGCCTCTGGGACAGCTTCAAGCGTACCAACATCAGAATTATAGGGGTGCCAGAAGATGAGAGAGAGCAAGATATTGAAAACCTATTTGAAGAAATAATGACAGAAAACTTCCCCCACCTGGTGAAAGAAATAGACTTACAGGTCCAGGAAGCGCAGAGAACCCCAAACAAAAGGAATCCAAAGAGGACCACACCAAGACACATCATAATTAAAATGCCAAGAGCAAAAGACAAAGAGAGAATCTTAAAAGCAGCAAGAGAAAGAAACCCAGTTACCTACAAGGGAATACCCATATGACTGTCAGCTGATTTCTCAACAGAAACTTTGCAGGCCAGAAGGGAGTGGCAAGAAATATTCAAAGTGATGAATACCAAGAACCTACAACCAAGATTACTTTATCCAGCAAAGCTATCATTCAGAATTGAAGGTCAGATAAAGAGCTTCACAGATAAGGTAAAGCTAAAGGAGTTCATCACCACCAAACCAGTATTATATGAAATGCTGAAAGGTATCCTTTAAGAAGAGGAAGAAGAAGAAAAAAAGATACACATTATGAACAACAAATATGCATCTATCAACAAGTGAATCTAAGAATCAAGTGAATAAATAATCTGGTGATCATAATAGAATCAGGGACATAGAAAGGGAATGGACTGACTATTCTTGGGGGGGGAAAGGGGTGTGGGAGATGCGGAAAGAGACTGGACAAAAATCGTGCACCTATGGATGAGGACAGTGGGTGGGGAGTGAGGGCGGAGGGTGGGGCGGGAACTGGGAGGAGGGGAGTTATGGGGGAAAAAAAGAGGAACAAATGTAATAATCTGAACAATAAAGATTTAATTAAAAAAAATAAAGTCACATTTAAAGTTTTTTTGTCTCTCAAATTATTTTAGCTGGGTTGCATGCCACATGTGATTCTTACATTTTTGGCTCCAAATCAATAGACAAATTGATGTGTGCCCATCCCTCCTGCCCACACATCTCCTGCCCTTCCAGCTCAGCAGAGTCTCTGAGAGGGAAGGTGGACATGGTGCCGGTTTCTATTAAAGGTTGCTCATCAGAGGCGAGCCCAGGTGGTGACCCTTCTCTTCCTAAAGTGAATGTGTACTCTCCTTCCAACATTCAGTGTCCATGAGCTCCGGGCTGCATGGCTCCTTCCCTGCCCACACACCAGGTGCCAGTCCCTCTTCGCTCCTGGACTTCTTGTCCTGCCCAAGAGGAGCTCCCAGGTGAGCCTAATGGCTGGGGTGCATGTGCTCCAAATGTTCATTCAAGATGCTGCTCTTTCTAGTCACTCATCAAACTTCAGTGACATGTGAGAGACCGTCCCTTGGGTTCCTATAACTGATCTCAGGTGCTCAGCTCCCACCCTCCTGAGGTGGGGGTAGGGGGAGGGAGGTCCTGGTGTTGGCATCTCTTGGTGGGTAAACTTGGTTGTCAATCCCTTCACCAAGTACAAAAATCCCACTAAATTCATACTCACATTGCACCAAAAATCGTACTGAGAACCAGAGAAAGGTAATGAGCCCAAGTCATGAGGTGGGTTGATTACAGGGTTGGGGAGGCCTCACTTCCTGAGCTTTGCCAAGGATTCTCAGCCCTCAATAAGTGTGTTTCATAAATGTCCCTGGGTTTCAACACCCAAACAGAAGAAAAAAAGGCCCATCCTTCAGGTTCTCTTACATGTTAAAAGAGCACATGTAAAAGTAATTCCCAGATCACAAACTCTTTTAGGGCTGAGATTGCGTGTCCCCACACATCTACAGAAGTAACTTATGGGTGAAACCTCTAATATTTTATTTCTATTGCATTTCTACTGAAAAGGGAGGTGAATACAAAGGACATGCATTCTTGGCTCCAACAATTTAACTGCAATATGTCAGTTTCAAGCAGGAAATCTGATCTGAGTTTGCAACCCCCTTCTGCCTCTCTGGGAGTCGATAATTCACCATTTTAGGGCAACGGGCCCATTAACATTGAACAGCTGGAGAATACACTCTTCATTGATCAGATAAACAAGTCATGAGATATTTTATTACAAAGTGATGGACCAATTTAGCCATCTTTTCACCAGCAATGCACTTATATTGAATGTGAAATGGCAAGAAATTTGCTTCCTCAGGGAGCGATCATAGGAAATACAGAGTGAAAGCTTATCACTAAAATGGCTCATCTAACTGGATTTATATTGAATTCAACCCAAATGTAAGCCAGACCTCTGATCAGCGAAAGTTTTACAGAATGATGATTTTTTCTCTTTGTTAATTTTACTCTCAATCATTTGCAATATTTTGTTTTTACACTTAGTCATCATTTTAGCTTTTTCTGAATTTTTCTTATTGAAATACATTAATTATATTGGTAAGTTACCTAAGCATTATTTATCATAATTCTGAATTCATCTCAGGTAAATAATTGAGGCACTTTTAAATCAATTTGATGATGGACATGAATTGAGTGAGAGGAAGGAAGGAATAAAAGATGACCCCTAAGATGTTGACCTGGTGGAGCTGGGTCCATAGGAGGAGACACTAGTGTAGCTGGGGCCTGGGTGGGAATCTGGTTGGGATATGTCCATTTTGAGATCTGTAAGTAGCAGTTATGAAACAAGCCAACTCCAGCAAAGGGTGGAGTGGGATAGAAGTTTGGGGTACATCAGCTCAGGGATGGCATTTAGAGGCCAGGACAGGGTGGAGTCACAGAGGGAGCTTCGGTAGATTGGAAGAAGGGCCTGGAGACCCAGCCTCAGGAAGTAGCCTCATTCTCAAGGTTCAGGATAGAATGAGAAAAAAGGAACAAAAGAGACTGAGAAAGTGACCTGGGGGTATCTGTAAGCTCTTCTCCTCCCCGAATACCTGAAACGTCACCAGGATGTTTTGAATTTGTCTTAATATTCAGGATGCTCTGAACCAGGTTGGTTGTTTCCAGGTGAAGCCTCTCTTTTCTTCTAGCATATCTTTAATCATATCCTCCTTCCTACTGCCCCCTTTTTTCTCTCTCTTGTCTCTTTTTGAAACTTTATCTTGACTGACAATGTTTCTTAATTTATTTCTTGGTGACTTTTCCTCAGGTCTCTGACAGTGTTGAGCTATTCTCTTGCATTTTTTTCAGCAATCCCATTTTTAATTCCCACCAGTTCTTAACAACCTCTTTCTAAAGACCTGGCAGTCTACTTCAATGTAATAACACCTTTCTGGGATTTTAATACAAAATGTGCATATTTTGCCCTGGCTGTTTGGGGCGCATGCCAGGTTTGGGGCACATGCCAGGTTTGGGGGCTTGATCCCTGGTAGGGGGCATTCAGGAGGCAGACAATCCATGTTTTGCTCTCACATTGATATTTCTCTCTCCCCCCGCACTCTCTCCACCACTCTCTTCCTCTCTCTCTAAAAGCCAATTAAAAATCTTTTAAAAAGTGTATATTTTAACTTTTCTTTTATATTTTAAATTACTTGCATTCTCTAGTGTCAGTGGAAGAGTATTCAGCATCTTTCTCTCCCTCTGGGATTACTATGATATCTGTGGCCATCCAGTGCTCTTTCCTGCTCCAAATTCCCCTGCAAGTCAGAGTCCTTAGAGCAAGAGCTTGTTGTCTGTAGAGACAGTTCTGAGCTGGGGCTGTGGGTGATACCACTGCCACTAGCTTCCTGAGGCCATAGTAACTGAGGACCCAGTTCCTGTCCCAGGGCCTCTCCTAAACTAGGCTTGTCCCCCACCCTGGCAGTGCGGTGTCTCAGGACACCAGCTGGGAGGAGTTTACACCAATAACTACACCTTCACTACCCATTCTCTTTTGGGGTGGGAGGTCTCCAACTGGCATCATCTGCCCACCCAAATCCCAGGTCTGCAAAGGTGCCCCTCCATTCTCTGACTATTATGATTACTGTGTGCTAACTCTACACCATGCCAGC